GATTTTGTACGTTAAAAAGAACAATTTCGTTTGTGGTTAAGGAAGATATAAATGTCTCACAATGCGAACAACCAAAAGGATAACAATTAGAACTCGGTTTGATGAATTTTACCAAAAAGTACAATGCGAAATCTACAACAGATTTGTTTGCAGTTAGAAAATTGGTTAAACTAATCATTCCACGACGAATCGATATGCGAAATGAAATCTAATAATAATCTGAAATCCACGAGGGCTGATATTTTAAGGTTTATTATGGTGAATGTACCAAATACGTGCCCCCAGTGAAACTCCATGATGAAAATGTTCGCGAATAAAATACCTGAATCATCGCATGAAGACTTGGNCGAGCTGAGTGTAACTCGCCAGATGCATATTTCAATTCGGAGACAAAAAATGATTACAGATTCCTGTATTCTGATAAAAATCCTCTATTTTTAACTTCTGACTATTAACTGATTAAACTACTTGAGGATGGTTAACATAAGGAAACTTCCTTGCAATTAATACATTTCCCTCTAATAGTTTCATCTTATTCATCTTCGTCATGACTGCAGAATAAGCAACTTTGTTAGTACAAAAGTGAAGGTTTTATGAACCTACTGGTTATCACTCGATAACACTGAGTTCTACAATGAGAACAAAATTAATCCGCTTTAAGGTAAAACCTCAAGGTTTTGGGGCATCTCCTAACACTGAAAGTCTTGTCTTACGTGTCCGTTAATGGTTGTATATTATGTGTTATATAGTAATCTGAGTCACCTACTCATGTGAAATAACGCTCGTCAAGAACGTTTCCGCAAAGTCAAATGATTGATAGTTTACTAGGTGTTACCATAGCTAATTATCCCAAATCACATATGTGTTTATCTTGCTATCTCCCGGATCCTATCTACTTTTTGTGTTTTACTTGCGGGCACACCATTGAGCACCTTTTGTTTTATTTTTTCCCAACGCTGCAGACGTGTGGACCGGAACAGCTGACACCGGGACAATGGCATGCTTTGGCGATTTCCTTCTCCACGTCACGTCGCCTTATCGTGACCCGCCCGCGTCTGACCGTGTATGTTGATGCTTTGAAAGTACAGTCTTGTGAACTGCGCTTGCCACAAGTCGATGGGGTAAGTGAATCAGTCCTACAGCATTCACGAGAAAACGAGAATATGCCCCAGTAGTGCAATCTAGTATTTATAGTTACAATTTTGAGTAATTAGAATGTTTTCCGATGGAATTCAAGATATTATTTAGATGTAACGGTTCTTATACAATTCCATTTCAACAATAAACCTATTAACTAACTGTGAATATGACGATCCCGATTTGCACCTGATAGACAGATACTGACAGACATCTTTGATTTCTGCACGAAAGAAGTAATATTACGTATTCCTACAGTCAGAAGTACATTTTAATTATCAGCAAAAGAATAGCGTGAGCTCAAATTGGGGTCAACAAAATGAAGAAATAAAATTCTTATGTTATTTAAGTTCAAATATGTTTTCTTGAACGTCTAATTGCTTGCTGTAGATGACAAAAATATAATTGTTATGCCTAACCTATTGACAGCTTCACTTAGTCACCATCGCGTTGGTTTACTAAGGTCGTGATGCCCGTTTATCTCCATATAGTTATTATATAATTATACATTTAATTGTTTTCTCTTGCGTACCACTATTATTTCCAATCTTTTTCACGTGCATCGTTTTATAAGAGTCTCACTGTCAGTCTCAACGTAAAGAGGAGAATAAACTGTTCCCGAGTACAATCAACAAATTCATCAGGTTTATTTTACATCCTCATTGTCCAAGTTGAAGTCAGTTAGAGCTCACTTAGTCGCGGAAGATGCGTCTTAAGATCAAAGGCACCAATGTGAAGTTGATTAGTTGTAGCTTTGATTAGTTTTGAGGTTCTCTTCCACGAATGTACACCTCCACTTACCACCGACGTAGTCGAAAGAGCTGATGAGTCATCAATAAATTATTTTGGCTCAAACATGAAGATTCACGTGGTTCAACCAATCAGACACCTTATATTTCTCAGCGATTTCACACACACACACACACACACAGATTTGTCAGTTATGCGTAGTTAATAACTGTAAAACCTGGCATTCAATTGGTAGCTGAGAAGAAACTGTGCGATTTGAAGTATGCTGACGCTATCGTCTGTATGCTGGAATCAGATCGGAACCCTGTAAATCACATATGATAAACTAACGAGTTCTGTCACTCCGTTCGATATGCGCTTGACAGCTTCGAAGTCCAAAATTATTTTGCAAGACCAGGTGTTGACCACACTTACTCTGATGACTGATGGTTAGGAATCAGTTACAGAGGATTACTTCCCCTACCTAGATAGTTATCGCATCGTATCTCAATGAGTAGGTTCCACTGGTTAGGATAAATTCGGCACTTGTGCACCGCGACTTTCTCGCAGTTGCCGCTCCAGACTGGAGAAGAACACGTGAAGGCGAACAGGTGGATCGGACGTGAGGCATGAAGAAATCCACAGAAAGATTGGAAAGAGTAGCTGTCTCTTGTCTTCCTGTTAACCAGAAATATCGAAGTAAATGGCAGCAAGCCACCGGCATTGACGTTCTTGTTGCCACCACATATCAGGCCAGGTTGCTTGGAATGATGTGCGTTCGCGGTCAGACTGAGTATTGACTAAACACGTTCACTTTATTGTAGGCCTGCTTCAAAACAGGTTCACTCCGCAATCACCTTACAAATTCTCACTTGTTTTGTATGTATTGCGAGCTTGGAACCGATAAGTCAACCCCAGTGTACCATAATGAATATGAATATATGTTGTGTCCCTCGTCTTTGATATCGGGTGTTCGAAATGTCATGATTGACTACTGAAAGTCAATATTCCACTTTTAAATAAGAAATGCAAGTGTTCTTCCGCGAACAGCATGGATGTTAGCACACTGCTGTCTAACTGGCCCCATTTAAGATAATTTGGTCAAGTGGATAAGTCGCTGCGCGATATGCATGCAAGTTGCCAACTCTAGCGGTCTGGTTTACCGCGCAAAGCACCTGAATGGTTGCAGACTAACTCATCCCTGTTGACACAGTACTGCGACATAATAATTCGATCAGTAGACGTCATTTTTGTGAAATAAAAGTCGTCCTATACGAAACTAGGATGGCAGAAAATCATTACAAGGGTACATATAGGTGGCTGTTTTAACTTTTCAACATACTATCATGGTTACTTTCCATCCTCGGTCCGTGTTTAGTTAGTTAGCGCTCATTGTTTGTCTGAGTTCTTCATATACATTCAGATGTTTCATATTTGAAATTGAGAAAGTGCCACCCGAAATCACTCGGGACTGTTCTGTCCTCATTCTCTTACTATGAATTCTAACTAAAGGTAGAATCGATCATTTATTCGGTTCGTTGATTGAGCCCTAGTCCATGTGAATCCGATATTACACCTTTCAAAGTGTGTTGCCTACTCATTAATCTTCTTGATTGATGTTCACCAGAGGTTCCAGAATTAATCAGTTAGTGTAACCCGGCTCTAAAGGTTTCTCAAGAGAAGTGTAAACGTGTTTTATAAAACTGCTATTTAAAAATGTATATTTGTATTATTATGCTGAAAACACATTAAATAACGTTTTCCAACTTTATTTGTCGTCTTCTTGTTACAGGATGCATATATCATGCACATTGGTGGCTGTCCGACATGGGTTGAACAAATATGCTATATGAAATTGCTTATGTCACTGCAACCCAAAACCCAAAAGAAATATACTCCCGTTGTCGCCCCTTGGAGTTTAAGCCAGAAGATCGGGCAGAAGCCGTCTTACAGCGACATGAATGGCTCAAACGTGGGCAACGTAGCTCCAGTAACCAGTCGAGATATTGGCGTTGTTCGGAAGTGTCAACTCGGGGAAGAAAAATACAACTGGGGTACTTTGGCATCATTTCGAGGTCAATTGGCATCTGTGGCCTTTTTCAATGATGTTGTTNCCACACTTTACAGGCTCTGGCTTCTCGTGGTACGACAGCAAATGTAACTTGGTTGACTTTTCTCCATAATTATGTCGTTAAAAATGGTTGTGAATTCCTAACAATACTCTGTGGCTATCAGTCATGTGGTGATAGGATTTCGGAATAAATATCATTCGTCCTTAGGGAACTGGTGTACTATTGGTTGCGGAGTCCATTCACGAATGACTCCTTGATCATCATCGCGAGGATATCTCATGGGATTTCGTTGTAACATGGTTCAGGATAGCCAAAATGTTTGCTCCAGTATTTGTAAAGCATACTTTGTAAGTTAAATAACTGAATTGAAACCGATTCTCTCGTCGCTATCCAGGAAGGTGGGACTACCACGTGATAACTATGTTTAGTCTCTAATTTTACTGTGAGCCAGTTACTTTCGGGGCAGGTACAAGAAGTTTTTTCCAACTGCACAATTAATTGAGTGTGTTATATCCTTTCCATATTACGCGGGATATTTCGATTACCTCATTTGGCAGTGGGCTAGAAGTCGTTCATCGGATTCTTCTATAGAACAACTGTTCTGTCCACTTTCTTCACAAGAGTGCTTTCGGCTGATCCCTAAAATATAGTCATTAAGATCAAATTCGTTCTGTCAATCCAATCGAAGTACATACTGGAACTTTACTTCCAAAGTTCATAAACTCATCTTTTCCGTTCAGTGAATTTAACTACATTTTATTCTCCGAAATAACGGATTTCCTTTTTTAGTCTGAAGTTAATTTATCTGGTTTGGCTGCTGTCTTAGGTTGGGTATTTTACTTAAGTTGACCTCATTTATATTCATCTACTCTTTGAGTTCACTTGTTTATCACAGTTCGGTGGTTAGTTGCTTTTCAAGTAAAATCATACAAAACAATCAACTATTAACCACTGTTATCCGAAGGTGCATGTTAATCGGGGATCATAAGACCTATCTGCAGGTGATGCCCCAAGTTCAAACCGTTGGTGATCCCATACAATTGCACTCGTGTACTTTACTTATGGTAAATGTACTAGCTTCTGTGCACAAGCACTTTCGATCGAGGCGTCTCAACTTCAGTAAATCAATACAAGTACAATAAATATTACAGGTATGTCGTGAATAAGAAATTCAATACGTGCGAGCTTATCGTATGTTGGTAAATGATCTCCATCCCTTCAGAATGAGTGGTCTCTGGCACGACCAATACTTTGGGAACCCTCACTAGTTTTCCATTTGCTCGTTGAATTAACCAAGAAACCTCATGAACATTTTTGCGTTCTACCACTTGTTTATCATGTGACGGAACATGTGTGAATGATATGTGGTCTACTTATGATCCGTTCTTTAGTGACACAGACAGGTATCCTAATCCTGCTTTTTCATAATGGAGAATGAAAACGAGTTCGTATTGCAGTTAACTAACCTTCCAGATATGACATATAAACTAACAAACCGCACCTTATGATTTGTCACCAAAATAATAGTGCACAACATCCGTTTAGTCATACGTGTTATTCAACATAGCTATAACCATCGAAATAAGAGCAGCCCCTTTACCATAATCGCGATCTTTTCCCCGTTTGCAGTCATTTTTAAAACATGCGTCGCATGTGCTGGCTGACGAGTTATCATTCCATGTGTCGATCAGTCTTTCGTGGGTTTTGGTCGACCAGGTGTCCGCATCTTCATTAATCCGTGACTGATTCCTCTCGGGGCAGGAGTGGTTCCGTCTGTACATTCAAGAGTAGCCTGCCACGAACAGAGGCCCATTGGGAGACGAGTGTCTTGAATTGTTTTATTCATATGAAGAGAAGCGGATCAATTAACTTTGAGTTTTAAATAGATTTCAAGTCTGATCTACAGTAATCTGCTGTCTGAAATGTGAAGCTTTAGGTTCGACATCATCGAGCGTTAGCTGACTCTGCGCCGTAGCTGGATTTATTCTTTTCCATATGCTTACATTGGAAGTGTATCGAATATCATTAGGTAAGCGTAATTGGCTTAGATTTTCTTATCAATCAACGCCATGTGAAAATCGGTAGAGTTTTTCCACAGATACACCTAATTGGCTGTTCAGTGAGTGACAATAAACTTGGATTCTTGCACTTGACATTGCATTCCCTAGGCGAAAGGGATAGATCCATCCGGGAGCGTGCATTAGTTTAGTATTGACCACATTGGCTCGATATCTATAGAATATCTTCGTTCGAATTGATATCCTTTCAGAGAATTGGTCTAGTGGGCCAAAGACTTATTTGTATTTTCTTCTGATTGTCAGAATATTGAAGAACAGTTTCTGCGTATTACTGTCTGTTTTAGGACCGTGTGATTTGACATACATGCTCGACAATGAAAGCTATTGCAGTACCGGCAAATTGGCATTCTACTACCATGCGAAGGCATTCAATCCGATTCATTCTGTGTGTTCGGATTTGATGGCCGAGACAATTGGTGCACCCATTCTGTTGGCGACACTCAAGAGGTCCTGTGAAGCTGTTGCATATTCTGGAGAAAATAAACTTTGCCATGAACGGGAGATTCAGTCCGATGAATGGGTAAAACATTATGCTCAAAAGGTCGAATTCTATTCCGGATTACCTGCAAGTGTGACAGGAGCACGTTGTTTCCGGACTGTTAAATTTATTGTAAGTCATATGGCCCGCGTGAATTCAAGCTAACGTGGTTCATGTACATCGGCTTTAAATGAACAGAAAAGTCACGCTTTTACCTAGATAACTGTCCGTCGCGGCTGAATAGTTTATCAAAATATAATAATTCTATGTGTAACGGATTTGAGACACCTTGACTTTTATTCCTACAAGCTTCATTTGCGTTATAGGTTCCTTCTCCTGAACTTTTTGGGTTGCTTCGCATACCATTAAGGATCTTGATACTTCTTCCATGTAATTTATTTTTTCCAGGATTCCATAAATCAGATCGGCGGCCTAGCTGCACTTTTTCCGATTCTTCGTCTTATTCAAGAATTCCCACGAGGTACGAGCAGACTTGACGATATTGAAAGTTCAAACGAGACAAACGCCGATTCAGGAATGACCGATGTTGGGAAACCGGAAGAATCGCAAGATTTGTACAGACCCACTCTAGGCCGGTACACAACCATACTGCACGCATTCGAACGGCTCATGTTCAGAACTTCTGGAAGATTGTCCGAGGATAGTTCACAACTTGGCAGCCTGTGCCGGAAGCGTGAAAACTCAAGACCGATTCCCAGAGACACCAGTTTTGTTTTACCTCCCATCTGTTCTATTANGTTCTATTATGGTTACTGATAATGGCTTCCACTATAGCCCGGAAATACTATCAGGTAAATGTGGACTAACTGTAATTTACCGTGCATCAGAATGTTGTGATCTGTCAAAATTTCATCATATCTGCGTATATTAAGGTGACGGTATTGTGAGATTAAGTGATCAAAAGAGCTTTTCTGTTGCACACTAGTGTGATGAACAGTAGACGGGGTGAACCCCATAGCAACGAGGACCTGTTGTTCATTGATGGAATCTG